TGAACTAGTTCAAGATCAATGCGCTACAAGAGTCGATTTTATGCGAACAGAGTCGTTTCTCACCACTGGAGAAAGCGTCTACTTATAGTCCACCCTAGAACTTAGAGTGTAGTCTTTCGCCATCAACCTAGCTCTGCATCACTTGATTGTCCCATCTTGGTTGACCTTGAAAATCTATTTATTTTCAATGGTCTTGCATTCAACTGGAAGATACACCATGTCCATAACTTCATTCTTCCGTATGGACTCAAGCTCCTCGTCTACATTGCCTTCCACACTTTCATTATAGATCAAGAAATAACATCCTCATATAGTTTGGTCTCCACAACAACATATGATGATGCCATGAATGTTTCCCTTAATATCAAACTATTATACAGGTAATAGTCCATTGGATAAAATTGATAAAAGAATGTGACACTAATGGTTATTTATTTTAACAAAGATGGAAGTCATAATATGGAAAAATTGATAAAAGAACGTGGCACTAATGGTTATTTATTTTAACAAGATAAATATTAATTAAAAATGCAGATTATTGAAAAATACGTTTTCAAACATATTTTTAAAAGTTATTGTTCAAATGTCATTTCTTGATAAGTTCATTCTGTTAGTAGATATTCTTATATCTACACTTTTAACATTTCTTTTGTGAATATAAGAAAAATGCACTGTTATACATAGCGCCGCTAGTGTGTTAGCGACCTCTTCCGCAACACTATCACCTAATAGTGGTGACGTGTTGGGGAGAGTGCACTTTTTGCTCACAAAAGTGGCCAATAGCATCCTATAGCAATGAATAACGGGCGATTGCAGGTAAAATCCGTTTTTTGAGTACTATTTAAAAGCGGTTTTAGGTTTATTTTTTTAAATTAACCTACCCGCACCCGAAAGACCCGATGTTTTAAGTCATTAAATTAACCTACCCGATGTTTTTTCTCTCCGGAGTCTCCTTGCGATCTAACTCTAAAAAAAATCCTACCCGCCGCCTCCCGTCGCCCCTGCCTCCTTCCTCACCACCTCCTTTCACTGCCACAACACCTCTTACCTCCTCTCGCTGTGAGCTCCTATAGTCCTCTTAACTGCTCATCTCATCTCAAAGATGACTCTTCGACCCCTCCAGTTATTTTCGGTATTGTGTGATGGGTACATGTTTATTTCATGCTTATGATCTCTTTAAATCATCAAAACATGTACTTCTAGATGTCCTAAAAATTTCTTTAATTTTTCTTTTTTTAAAATATTTATACATATTTAAATTAGATTGCTATTTGAGTTTGTGTTTTTTGCTGTTATTTTTCCGAAATAGCCCCAATAACCTTAGCGGTATCTCACCGCTATGCGACGCTATCCACTATTGATAATCTTGAAAAAATATGAATATTGCAGGTGTAGTGTTTTATTGAGAATGTCTTCCCTATTGAATTCTTTGAAATCAAAGTTTTAAATATCGGATGTCGGGTTCATGTCGGATGGCTAAAATCCATATCGGATAGCGGAAATCGGGGATATATCGGGGGACATTGACTAAAAATATCGGATTGTCATATCGGGTAGTGCGCCTATGTATAATATCATGTCCTAAATGTAATCTAAGCATTCATAAATTCAATATAAGCATACTTTATAAATTCTATAGACTAAATATATAAAAAAGTAAATAATATATGGATTTGGCCATTTGGGTTCATAAATTCTTTCTATTGGGTTCATAAGGAACCCTTAAACATGAGAACGAGTCAAACGAGTTTGGGTATTTATCACTAAACCCAAACCCGATAACAAAAAACAGATTTTTAAAAAAAGTACCATATCGGTCGATTTTTCAAACCTAAAAAATAGGCCGATATGCCCGATATGACCATGATTTTTCTGACTTGGCCCTGAAAACCGATATACGAGTTGAAAACGTCCATGTCGTGTCGGTCAAGCCCTCAAACCGATATGTCGGCCGATATGTCGGCCGACATGTCGGACATGTCGGCCGATATTTAAAACCTTGTTTGAAATGTTAAAAATCCTCAGATGTCTACTATGGAGGAAAGTGATTTGTTTAAGTCTATCATATGGTATTGAATGTACCGACCTGTGTTAAGTGACCTTTTTGGCAAACTGTGAAGTAACCTTTAGACAATCTATGGTAGTGCTAGATACATTTTATTTATGGGTTGACTTATAGTGATCAATGCGCATTTCCATGCTATTGGGCTATAATTTTCATAGCCTTAGTGTGACAACTGATGATGTTTTACAAATGTAAATTTAGATTGATATTTACATTTTAAAAGTATTTAGTACTCAATTTGTAATTTTTTCTTAAACTTGTTTTTCTTATTATCTTATGCAATACATGAAAACTTCTTTTGTGAAATATCTTTTATGATTTTTAAATCATTCTTAATTGTAGCTTACTTAAGTTAGTATTGATATTTTTTTAAAACTTGTCTGATCCACTAACAATAAGTTCTCTGCTCACTGAGTATAAACTCATCCTGTTATTTTAAATCTTTTTTAGATGAAAATTGGAGAAATATGTTATATGCTTTTTAAATCATTCTTAATTGTAGCTTACTTAAGTTAGTATTGATATTTTTTTTAACTTGTCCAATCCAATAATGATGAGTTCTCTACTCACTGGGTATAAACTCACCCTGTTATTTTTAATCTTTTTTAGATGAAAATTAGACAATTTTATCTATAGCTTGGAGTTTTGGAGACATGAGAAGGATCTATTAGAGTTTTTTAATGCAGAGAGTTTCTAGTTGTTATCTTAGTCGCTTTTATGTTATGTAATAAGAGTCTTTTGACACGTTAGAGTGACCTTGTTATGATGTAGCTTTGATATGAGACATCTATATGAACATAGTTTCTTTAAATGATTTTATTTGAAATATAGAATTGCACCATAGGCTTGGAATGTGCTTTTGCACATGTTGCCATTGTCATACATCTCAAATTATGTTGCGCATTTGGAAGAGTGATAAGTTGTGGTTTTAGCCAAGGTTTAGAAGTCCTTAGTTTAGAAGTCTTTAGTAGTGATTAGAAATAAGTTTTTTTAAGAAAAGTCTTTAGTGATAACTAATATATGGTTTGTTGGTTTATGACTAGATGACTAGGAATCCCTGAACATAGGAGTGTGATTTGAACTAAACATTAGGACAATTGTTAGAGGCAAGAATGGACGTGGTTTGGGGTGAATCAGATGGGTGCTAATGCTATGCTATATCCAATATGATGCAAAATCAACAACAATAAATTAATCAACAACAAGAACCTCAAGACAATGATCATCATCGTCTACAAACTGGTATAGCGAAGTTCAAGACGCTGACACTGCCTACCTTTGAAGGAAGTGTTGATCCTATGGTAGTTGAAGACTGGATCATGAAGATGAAAAAATCTTCACATATATGAAGTATCCTGATGGAGAAAAAAAATGTCTTATGCAATCTATCTGTTGAAAGGACGCACACATGGTTGGTGATAAATAGTATCAAAATAGTTAACCAGCTTGAAATGTGCGGCCAAGGGCTATGGGGGATTAAGTGTCACACCGCGTGAGTGCAGTGTGAGCCACCTCTAGAAACTAGTAGGAGCCACCTCTTGAGTCCTCATTGCCTGATGGTGATATCAGAGCTGACCAATTGTCATGTCACGGCGAGAACATCACGAAATTAAGGTGGGGTCATTGTGATACACCAAGATTTAGTCTCACGTCAGACATTGATTGAGTGATTGAATGGTTTAAATGATGAGTTTTGAGAACTAAGTGTAACATTGGCTAGCTAATTTTGGCAGCTAAACTATGTGTTGCACTTTGTGGGTCCCATGGCTTACATTGTGCCAACAGGCTCGTGAGCTCGAGACGTGACAAGTAAGGGTCCATGTACATTTGACTTGACTTTTATTTTTCAAAAGCTCGCATTTCTCAGAAAAATAATAAAATGTGAAAAAGTGATATTCTTGAGAGGCTTATCATCTTTATACAATCCAAATGGAAGTTCTATCTCAAAGATGAGTTGGAAAGCACACATGCTAGCTATAATTGTTCATGGTATTCTAAGTTGATGTCAAACTTTGCCAATGTAGCGCTTCATAGCTAGTGCTTCCTGTCCTAAGTCAAGGTAAAGGTGAAGGGTTGCGTTAGGTAGCCAACAGACAACATAAAATATAGTCAGATCCACAGGACATGATTTATAGCCAAACCCAAACATTTAGGGTAAACGATTGGTTGTTGACATGTTGTGTTGTTGTTATTCTAAGTTAATGTCAAATCAGGTAGATGAGTAGACCTGAAGAAGAAGGGCCAAATCAACCGATTTCAATATCTTACATATCTTACAGAATTATTCTTCAGGGTGCTTTCTTGTCAAAAGGAATTATAAAAGTGAACCAAGTAAAATTATTCGTTTTAAAAAATAAAAATTTAACTAACATATATTTGTCATGATATGCATTCACATATAATATGCTGTTTTCCTGGATTATGCTTCTAGTTAAATCAAGAGAAGCCTACTGCAGTAGTATTACAAAATTGACATCACAATAAAAATGTGGACAATGTCATAAAGAATTAAAGTACATAAATATTGAAATTTATGTGTTGCTTCTTTTTTAGGGTAAATTTCAAAAGCTACCATGAACTACTATTATGAGTTTTGGACAAAATACCATAAATGCCCACGAATTAAATATTATTTAAAAAATATCATAAACTTTTAAATCAGTAAACAATAACACAAACTTTTAGAAAATACCCATGAATTAAATACCATTTATTTTTACAAATTCCAGGAATATTTAGAGTAACTAGATTACCATGAACTTTATGTTATTGTCAGATAATTATGATAAACTTCCGGGTATTATCATAAAACTATCATAAAATTTTCTGATAGTATGTAATATTTTAAACTTTGGTTTGTTTCTCTAATAAAATTAGGTTTGTGGTACTTTTGCGAAGTATATCCTTTTTTTTTAATCCTTTTCTTCATGAACAGGCCAGCTTGTGACATCGCAATATCTGGGCTGGGTTGGATAGCTATCGAGCCTTTTGGCCTTGAGACCTTGGATGGAAGTAATCCTGAATGTATAGGGGAGCTGCAGTTGGCAGTGCATGTGCCAAAGCCAGTTGAGATCTTTGTCCGGCCTCCACTACCTGTTGGTAAAGCAGGTTTAGAGTGGTACCAATATCAAGAATTGACCGAGGAGGAGGAAGAATTGAGACCTAAATGGTATCACTAGTGCTTGTTTTAGCTCTACACTTGAATGTACATCCAATTTTGTTATGATTATTTACTGTTCAGTAGCATCTATTATATACTCAAAAAGACCTTTTACGGAAAGTTCGCCATTGTGATTCTGTGAGCTAGTCATCTACTTACTGATTAGGAAGAGCTGGGTAATGTAAAAGATCGGAACATTTGTAAAGAACTTATTCTTGGGTTGTCCAATATTTGGGAACTTGCATTCTAAAAATTCTACATAAGATGATTATTTTGCTTCTTTTTCTCCTTTTTTTTTTTTTTTGCTTCTGAGATTGTGCCTTGTGCTGGCCGTTCAGATTATTCTGAGCTATTATGTTTTGGATATTAAGGTACTCGAGTACTCTTATGTGAAAATAACTGGAAACCCAAAGTTGCTTGCAAATCAACTCACTTTTGTGCTTGGTGGAATTGGTTAGGAATGCGCGGAATTTTGTACAGCCATCTATACTCGTGCCGATCCTCTTCTCTATGTAGAAGAGTTGCATGTTCTCCTTCTTGGTCAAGAAGTCTATTTCCGATCTCTCATCGTGTCATCTCTTCAAGCAACTGTTAATCTTGCTCTGCATCAAACTGATCTTTGATGGGACGTCACCTTAAATGCCAAGTTTGTGGCAAAGTGAGGCACTCGGCGGTTGCTTCCTACAATCGATTCAATCCATCTCCTCCTCTGGCTCACATGGCTTCGGTCACTAATTATAATTGGTTGCTTGACTTCGGGGCGACACATCAGGACAGCTGATCCATCTAAACTACAAATGTCATCTACTTGTATTGAAACCGAACAAGTTTCAATATGAGACGGATCAGGTCTGACAATTAAAAGCACTAGCTCATTTGTTCTTAACTCTCTCTCGAGTCCCTTTCTTCTCGAAAATATTCTTTATGTGCTTTCTATTTCTGGCAATTTACTTTCCATTTCTAAGTTCACAAAAGATAATCTTGTTATTCTGAATTTTCACCAGAAACGTTTTTTACTTATTTTAAATAAAATTTTTAAAGACCTTAATATAGGATGGTACTTAATCATGGCTTATAGCAGTTCTTACCTCATCACAGTCCACCTTTAAGGACTCTGCTTGCTTCAGTCGATAATTTAACCATATAGCATCGCCGATTTAGTCATGCATCTATGCCTATCGTATTTAAAGCTTTTAATAAAGCTAATATAAGCTACGATAAGTGTAATGACACCTCTTCATGTTCTTCATGTCCGTCATGTCAATTGAGTAAAAGTCATTGTTAGATAGCAATATTCCTAATCTATTAGGATTCCTAATCTATTTTGGTAACATGAGGTTATTAGGATTCCTAATTTATTTTGGTAACATGAGGTTATTAGGATTCCTAATTTGTTTTGTTTTTTTGTTTTAGGATTCCTAATCTGTTTTGGTTTTAGTTTTCTATATATATGGAGATTAGAATCAATCATCAAAAGACAGAGGAGAGTTGTAATCAGAGATTAGAGAGACTTTTGAGCATTTTGAAAGGGAGATATTGTGAGCAAGTTGAGATCTTTGGTTGAGGGTTAGTTTGTGAGTTTTGTGAGATTGTAACCCTTTGTATTCTCTTTGATTTAGTAAAATCTCCCCATCCTCTCCCCGTGGACGTAGGCAATTTACCGAACCACGTAAAATTGATTGTCTCGCTATTTGTGTGATTTGTAATAGCTTATTTAGGTTTCCTCGACAGGTCAGTCCTAGAACTGATGAGAGGAAGAGCTGATATCTCACTTGGTTGAGATATTTTGCTTAAGGTTCTTGTTTTCTTGGTGAAACATGAATTCATATTACGACCTGACTCTCTTGTTGTACCGCTGAAGTGCTGCCGAAATTTTCGCTGCGCGTAATAAGTGGTATCAGAGCCTAGATTTCAGAGCTAGGGTTTTGAAATTAGGTGGAGGAAGATTCTTGTGTGAAGCTTGGTTCTTGAAGTTCTAGGTTTTAGTGGAGATAGCATTAGGAGTTACCGTTGGAGATTTCGCTTTCCTCGTGTGGACAGGAGATCTATTTGGAATCCGATCTAGGGTTCAGTTGGGTAATTCTTAATTTCTATCAAAGTTTGATTCTTTCTCTACAACTTAGAGTTAGTTTGCAGTGGGAGAAGAAGGTGAAAGCAGCAAGTTAATGGCGAGTACAGTTTAAGTTGGTTTTCAGAACACCAAAATTAGTGTGGTGAAATATGACGGTAAAATCAACTTTGGTTTGTGGATGAGCGACATACAAGATGCGCTCAATGCTCAAAACTTGGAGGAAACCATCATGGTCCACAAGAGACCACCAAAATATGAAGAGGAGATATGGGAAAAGATGAATAGGAACACTTGTGGGGTGATCAGGTCCTGTTTGGAACAGGAGCTAAAATATGATGTGATTGGGGTGACGTCTGCAATGAAGATGTGTGAAATTCTCAACAACAAGTATCTTACAAAAAGTGTTGAGAACAGATTGCATTTGCTGCAAAGATTATTCAGATTTTAGATATCCAAAGGTACCTCGCTTGCGGCTCATGTGAACAACTATACGAAGTTTTTGTCGGACTTGGCGAATGTTGATGAGAAGATATCAGATGAGTAAAAGACTATTATCTTATTAGGCTCCTTACTGGATGAGGAGTATGACACATTTGTGCTCACTTTGTTGAACGGGAGATCTTCTATCAGCTTTAGTAAAGTTACTAATGCATTGGCGAATTATGATTTAAGGAGAAAGGACAAGGAGACTTCTTGTGCTAGTACTTCAGGTGAGGCCTTGTCGACGAGAGGTAGAAGTCCATATCCGAAAGGTGGTAATAGAGGAATGTCAAAGTCTAGAGGTCGTCACCAGTTCGCAAAGAACCAATGTGCATTCTGCAAGGAACAGGGACATTGGAAGAGACACTGCCCGAAGCTCAAGGAGAAGGATAATGGCAAGAAAAAGGGTCCGAAGGCCAATGAGGTGAATGTTGCGAAAGGCGATGATTCCGATAATTCGAGCTTTTCTCTATTGATTACTCCGGAGGTGAACCACTTGGATGCATCAGATTGGATGCTTGATTCCGACGCTACATATCATGTGACCCCTAGGCGAGACTGATTTGCATCTTTTGAGAAGCTCGATGGGGGAGTTGTTTGTAGGGTGAATATTTGATTTCCCGAAAAAAAGGGAGTTTCGTTTGTATTTATAAGAAAGCTTACTACAAACTAATAATCAAATGATTACAACAGAAGCAGAGGGAATGCCCTCTTTGTTTTGTGTGGGGACTTTAGGTGGCTATAGGATGCTTCGCTCGATGCTCGTGTCGAGTCTGCTTCCCTTGGACCGTTCGATCGAAGTTGCTGGAGAGCTTCAGTTCACGGTAGAAGCTCGAATCGATGGAGTTCGGGTCTGCTTAGTTCGCCGGCGATCGGAGCTCGGAACTAAACAGTGATGCTGTAATGCAAAGGTTATGCAGAGAGCTTGGTCTCAACTCTTTTCTCTAAGTTTTGCGACCTCTCCTCCAGTGTGCTGGAAGGGGCTTTTAAATGGAAGAAGGACAATTTGACTCATCCTTGAATTATGGGATGTGACCATGTCTTCTTCAGAGACGTCTAGCTGCTCCTCGGTACCATGAATGGTCATTTGAGGGATTGTGCTTTATGTCCTGTCACCTAAAATGGGAAGGACCATCCTTGTATATGAGGCAACGACCGGCTGCTATCCGAGTGGACTTGACCAGCATTAATGAACCGCATTTATGAGTTCGCAGATCGATGAAGTGTCTGTCCGATCACTCGTACTGTGCGTGACCGCCCGACGTGCTTTGGGCACGGTGCTTTCTCCTTTCCGGTCAGGAGAGGCGGTGAAGTAGGTGCACAGTACTTGAGTGGGTCTAACCAACTTGCCGAGTACCGGCGGATCCAGCTCTTGATCCAGACAGCTGAGTTGAGTCGCATTTATGAATGCTCAGGTTGACTCGACACCTGTCCAGTCCTTCACGCTGTGCGTACTGCGAGCGGCCATTTGACGGTCTTGGGGAACTGTGCTCTCTCCCTTGAGAGAGAGGGATGGGAAGGCCCATCTCAGCACGTGGGGTAGCGGATACCCAGCTGTACTGACGGTATTGGGGCTTGCTGGCGGATTCGACCCTGAACTCGGGCAGGCGAGTTGAGTGAAAGGCGAGCTTTCGTCATCCTGATCGATCTTAACTCGTGCTGGCGAACTGACCGTTAGGCGAACCTGGAACCGAGTATACCCGACATCTACGCGATTTAGGCCCGTGCTAGAGAACTGAGCGTGCGAGCTCTTCTCGTAGGCGAATTTCTTGTAAACCCATAGAGGTATTTTTTACCGTCTACATTGTTGTCATGGGAAATGATCAATCCTGTAGCATTTATGGGATAGGTACCGTGCGGATTCAGATGTATGATGGAATAGTCCGTGAATTAAAAGAGGTGAGATTTGTTCCTCAGTTGAAGAAGAATATTATCTCTGTTGGAGCTTTGGAAGCAAAAGGATTCAAGGTGATATTTGAAGACGCTGTAACAAAGGTTACTAAGGGATCTTTAGTGGTGATGAAGGGAGTCCGCAGTCGAAACCTGTATTATCTGAAGGGGAGCACCGAGATTGGCCAGGTTGCTTCGGCTATTTCAGAGACGAACATGAACAGGCTTTAGCATTATAGGTTGGGGCACACAGGAGAGAAGTCACTGCAGGCTTTGTGCAAGTAGGGGCTATTAAAGGGAGCCAAGAGTGGTAAAGTGAAATTTTATGAGCACTGTGTTCTTAGCAAGAAGACGAAGGTGCAGTTTGGGACGGCCATTCATAAGACGAGGGGCATCTTGGACTACGTGCACACAGATATTTGGGGTCCTACCAAGACTGCATCACTTGGTGGTCGACATTGGTTCGTCATGTTTGTTGATGACTATTCTAGGCGATGTTGGGTGTACATCATGACAAAGAAGAGTGAAGTCCTAGATTTTTTTGTGGAGTGGAAAAAAAGATTGGAACTGTAGATTGGGAGAAAGAACAAGACATTATGATCCGACAACGGTGGTGAGTACACATCACACCCCTTTCAGCAGTTATGTCGAGACGGGGGCATAGAGAGACTCATACACCGTAGCAGAATGGGGTGACAGAGAGGTTAAATCGGTCTTTGCTGGAGAAGGTCTGATATTTATTGGCGCATAGTGGTTTGGAGAAGATCTTTTGGGCTGAGGCACTTACATATGCGAGCCACCTC